TGAAAAGGGGCAAGTCGACTGAGGCCTTGGAGGTAGAAAGTGCTGCAGAGAAGATGCAGCTTCAGCAGCGTGTCTTGAACCTCATGAAGTACAGGGCCAACCACTCCAAGGATGCAGAGAAGAAGTCACAGGCTCAGCAGTTTTTGGACATGTACTGGAGCAAGACAGCGACTGAAAAGGAGGGCCTGCTCAAAGAGTTCGAAGCTGCTGGCGGCAAGAACAATACCCAGTGGCTCATGAGTGTGGAGAACCAACACACGGATGCTACGGAGTCCCGTGACAAGCTGCGCGAAGGTTTTTTTTTACAAGGACTCTTTTGAAACTAAACTCCCACAGCGGTCCCCACCCCCAAGACAGAAAAGAACATTTTTTGTTTGCTGCCCTGCCAGGAACCAGATTTTGGAGATGAACGCCTTCCAGCCGGACTCGATGACCTTTGAGCGCAAGGATTCTCTGGTGCAGCACCTAATTGCTGAGTCGGTCGAGAAGTTTGCCTTCAAAGCCGAGAAGAAAGAGCACCCTGAGGAGAAAGAGTTGGATAAGTTCATGCATGTCTTCTACGGTGGCAACTTTGTGGACCACTTAAAGCGACAGGAGCAGAAGGTCAATGTCTACAACCTTGATGTCCAAAAGGGCAACAAGAGGCTGAAGTTGCTCCAAAATGAGACCGAAGTGAAGTTTGAGTCCGAAGAGTACAAAGGCCTGTGCAAGAACATGGAGGCGCTGAAGCGCGAGAAGCTGAAGCTCAAGGCCCCCTTTGACAAGCTGGAGAACCTGGAGGTGGCGCTACGTGTCAAGGCCGACACGGATAAAGCGCTGGAGCCGAAGCACCGTGCAGTCTCCAATGCCAAGACAGCCTTGTCTTCCTTGCTCGATGGTTTGCGGGTCCTCATGAAGCGAGCCGAGGCCTTCAAGGGGGACGAAGAGCCGAAGATCCTGCTGGAACTGGCTCAGGAGCTGGCTGAAGCGACACAGAAAGCCATGGATGCTAAGGATGCAGCCTGCAAGGTGGAGCTGCAGCACCGCGGCTTTGTGTAGGCGCGCCATGAGCTACAGAGCTCTGTGGGGAATGCTCTGTAGGTTTTGATCTGTTGAATCGAGGCCGGAGCGGCTGCGAGCGAAAATAGTTCTTGCGCCTTAGACCCCTAGGTTCAGGCTCGAAGTCACAGCCTAGCTGCTAGGCCTAGCTCACAGGTGTTTCTCTATGGGTGCTTGGCGTTCAGTGCATGTTTGTTTTGTTTTGCAGACAATGCTGCCCAAAAAAGAAATAGATTCCAAGAGAAAAGCAGTTCCTAAGCAGAAGCGACTCCGGCACAATGTCGCCGACCTGCTGCTGGGCAACCATGTCAGTGCGCTCCGAGCGAGCACTCTTTTCCAAGACGCTGAAGATGCCAGCGCGGCCCATGTGTCCGACTTAGCTGCGGTTGGCTCCAAGAGCAAGAGCGGTAAGAACTTGAGCAGGGACCTGCGGCGCAAGCTGCTGCGCGATAGCCTTTGACCAAAACCATACATGGCTGCTTTGCCCCTGTGGGATCGGAAAGCGCAAGTACGCACTGAGGGCACTGTGCCTCTCTGGTTGCCCCATGAGCTGGTCGCAACTTTGCACTCCAGGACAGTGTCAGTTGCGGGCCTGACAGACTTTGACCAGCTGCCATCTGCACTGCAAGAACGCATGGGGCGCTTTGCTGCTGCGCTCAAAGTAGACCAGGAATCTCTTTGTGGGCTCAGCGTGTGGCAAGATGGTGTGCCTTTCAACTCAGATCGCTCAAAGAGTGTTGAAGTCCTGTCTCTCGGCATTTTGACTTGCGGGCTGCTCGACATGCGCCTGCCCCTGGCTGTCGCGCCAAAGCACTGTGTTTTGAAGGGTGAAGGTGGCGCAATCGATGCCATCTTTCGGGTTTGTGCCTGGAGCTTTGCTGCCTTGGCCACTGGCTGTTGGCCTCAGACCAGATCAGACGGAAAGCCATTTGACGACACCGATGCCTGGAGGAAGAAGGCTTTGGGCTCTGCCATGCCTTTGCCCCGTGGGGTGCTGCTGGAAATCAAAGGTGATTGGTCAGCCCTCAAGTCTGTCTTTCGCTTCCCTGGCTGGCGCGACAAAACTGGCTGCTGCTATCGATGTGATATGACGCCAGACCGCATTCGCGAAGTGGCCTCCAACTCCGACTGGCGACAGCCCAGCCACCGCCTCTGCCATGCTGATCTCTTGGTCAGGATGGTGGCTGATGGGAAATCGATTTCTCCAGCCTTCAACATTCCATTTGTCACCACCGAAACCTTCCAAATGGATTGGCTCCACACCACTGACTTGGGCATCTCCTTGGAATTCTTAGGGGGCATCTTGGCTTGGGCCTGCGATTACCTCGAGGGCAACCAAGCGCAAAAGTGCAGCGCTCTACACTTGCGTATGAAGGCCTACTACAAGAGAACCTGCAAGACTTCTTGCTCGCTGGAGCTCAAGCCCACAATGATCTGGAAGCAGCCTGGCGCCTATGCCCGCTTGCGGGCGAAAGCCGGTGAAGCTAGGGACCTCATTGATTTCGCGGTCGAGGTCACAAACCTGCGGCCGCCACTGCAGCAGCAGCCGCCCTGCAGTTGCAGGTCTGCTACCAGCAGCTGAGCAAAGAGGCCTTTCACAGAGAACTTCTAGAACAGGCTGCCCTGCGCTTCGCCCTTCTCTATGTCGCGCTGGGTGATTACTCCGCGGCTCATGGCTGGAAGACTTTTCCGGCCAAGCCAAAGCTGCACGCCTTTCTCGAACTTGTCCAGACTAGCACTCCGCCGTCTGCCTTCTGGACATACACTGAGGAGTCATGGGGCGGTAGGATTGCACTCTTGGGAGAGCGCAGAGGTGGGGGAAGCACTGCAAAAGCAGTGGGGCTCTCTGTGTTTGACCGTTTTGCTGCACAGCACGATGTGCCGGAGCTCTGAAGTGGACTCTAACATGGAAAATATGTCGTTTCTCTTGCCAGTCAACATCCCTTAAATAAGGGCTTTTGGAACATCCCTTAAATAAGGACTATAGTTTCTAATTTAAAGCTTTATAGAGGAGGTACCTTCTCTATTTTAAGGGGTTTAACCTCTAATTAGAGTCTATAGACCTTATTTAGAGGTTTTTCATTGAAAAAAATAAAGACTATAGTCTTAAGGGTTCAACCTCTAAATAGAGACTTTTGGAAGATCAGGGTGGTATGTCATTGCCAGGACCTGATTTTCGGCAAGAAATATATGACAATGGAATCAAGCAAGCAGCTCGTTCCGGAGGTGGTCCAGAAGCGGTGATGGAGCACGAGTTGGTGAAAGAACAGTTTGACAAAATCTTGGCGACCTTGCAAAATGAAGAGGCTGAAAGAAAGGCGACTGAAGAATCGATCGCTGGTCTCTCCACCGCCCAAGGGGGTGTCAGTGACGCAGCAGATGAGTTGGAACTGCTGCGCAAGCCACCGAGTCAACACTCTGAAGGTTCCGAGCAGTGTTGGAAAAGCGTCGGCAACATGACTGTGCGCACGTACTGCACCTTGCAAGTCGAACCCAAGACCCTCGAAGGAATGATTTCCATTGTGTCGCAAAGCCCTCTTCGCGAATTCCAGGGTGAAGGTGGAAAATCTTGTGTTATGACTCACCTCGACTGTGATGCTTTGGGGGAGTCGTTGGGTCCTGGACAGCGTCCTCTTCTACGGAAGAAATTCGTCCCTGAGTCGACCTTGCTGAAGAGACTTGTCCAGGGCTCGATGATTGGCCGGAATGGTCAACGCAAAGGAGATGAGTGCACATGTCCAGCTGAAGGGGAAATGATTTTCATTCACTCAGGCATGGACCGGTCCTCCAAGGAGGCTGAGACTCTTTTCCGTCCAGGGACGGCCAGGAAAGACCAAGCAATTGACGCAGAGGTGAAGGACGTGACACTGATCTTTTCGGATTCCTCGATCCGAAGCCGTAAGCAAAGGAACCGAGGCTGTTACAGTTCCAAGTCCACCGCCTCATTGTTCAGTGCGGCCAGTCTGACGACCATGGTCCCGGAAAAGGCTTACCCAGATCTCACCGGTCACAACACAGGGGATGTTTGCGCCGGGATTCCTGCACTGCAGCCCGAAGATTTGTGGCGCTTGACCAGGCCTCATATGTCTTGGCTTTAAACTTCTTAGTGGACTAGTTAGTTTCTTTCAAAGTTTCAAAGAACGTCGGCAGGAAAGAAAAGGAAGTGGTCTTGACTGACGACCGCATTGTTTCTCCCACAGATGCTGCCGTGAGCAAAGAGAAGGATAAGCAGATTTCAACAGAATCTGTCTTCAGTGCTCTCACCTTACCGTGCTCCTTCTACAGAAGCTTTCTGAAAGCTCACAGTGTCCAGGCCGTGCTTCTTGGTATGAATAATATTAGTTTTTTGCATAATATATTATTTAGATGTGCAGTGACTGTCAGACCAACATTCAGAATCGACGAATTGATGAGGTTGGATTTGGCCAGCGGTCAGGGAGAGCTAGCGAAAGCCTGTCTGGCAGAGAGAGTGCCGTACATGGGCCTGACTCTGAGCGAAAGTCATTCCACGCAGCTGGAACTGATTTTGACCAACTTCGCCGTCACCCTGATGCAGACAGAAGGTTCGACCTATTATCGCGCTGCAGCCAAGCGCAAGAGCGAGGGAGAAGGCAACGAGGACGAGCCTCCAAAAGCAAAGGCTAAGGCCAAGGGCAAGGCGAAGGGCAAGCCAAAGGCTAAGCCTACCCCAGAGGCGGAGACGGACGCCCAGGCTGAAGAGCCTGAAGCAGACAACGACGACGAGGAGGTGCAACTTCCATGGTAGACGCGCGCTGCAGGCGTAGACTTTTTGAACAGACGCGCTAGGAGTTTTGCTGTCTCAGACTTTCAAAAATATTGCAAGTAGTCAATTATTTAATCATCGAATCAAGCTGTCGTTAACGGGTCGGAGACATCGCTCGCGCCGGTTGTTTGACGCGCATCCACCGAAGTCCGGGCGCTTGTCACAGTCAGACGTAGACTTTTCGACTGACGCGGCTGGTTTTGCAAAATTTGGCCGCGACTGACAGACAAACTCACCACTGATCGTCGTCGTCTACTAACTTAACTAAGTTCCGGCGCCCGCCGACTAGCTATTATAAAATTTTCCTAAGGACGTCTTAGACGGATGACGTCGGGTCTACGGACAGGCAAAGTCTACGGACAGGTCTACGGACCATGCTTGCAAAGTCTACGGACTTCCGGTCTACGGACCATGCTTGCAAAGTCTACGGACTTCCGGTCTACGGACCCGGCCCGGAGGTCTACGGACCTGTTGGGCTTCCGGCCCGGTCTACGGACCAATTAAAATATCTACGGGCCACCAA